GCATTACCTGAGTTTGAGTCCTGGGTCTGCCACTTGCTACCTGTGTGACTTGGGACAAGATTCTTAGTACTTTGACTCCCTCGTATGTGACATGGGAATAATGATGATTGTAACTTGTTGCTGTTGAAGGTTGAAGTAGATAATAGAGTGATTAAAATATCATCTAGCCTATGGCAAACTCTTAAGTCTTAGTTGTGATAATTACCTCAGGAGCTGTTCAGTAACCTAGAGAAAGTATTGACTCTCCCAGTCATTTTTAGTGTGTTTAAGTTGAGTCTGTAAGGTCTCGGTAAAATGTCCGTAAGTCCTAATGGCTTACCAGGAGGATTCTAGCATCATCTGTTGGTAACTTTTTGTTCCTAAGCATGTATTTTGCATCACACTCCACTCTTTGACACTCTGCTTGAGCTGTCACCTCCTTACAGGGGGCTCCCAGACCCGCGTTTCCAGATGCCGCCCCTCTTCTGAGACTCAGCAGGCACCTGCTTTTAGATGCCCCTTCTTAAGCCCCTCTCCCTGGGTTTTATTGGTTAGTATCTGTTCCATGTGCCCACTTCTGTTGGCTGTTCTGTGTCTTCCCTGAAGCCCTAGATGTGAAGATGCTCAGTGCCTGTTGAAAGAACAAGAACTGTAGTCTCCCTTTTAGAGACTGAAGTGTTAAAGTCTCACATTTTCTGGGCTCTTCGCCTTTGAAAGCAGAGTGGTTTGTTTTTTCCAGCCTTCAATCTCCTCAACTCTGCTTCGTGAATTGGAAAATGAAAACTAACCTAAGTATACTGTTGTTGTGATGACTGCAGGTCCTCTTGGGTGCCCTGGCGTTTGCTCATCTTCCTTAAAAACTCCCAAGCACAGGCCTGGCTCCTTGGACAGCCGCCTGCGGGTCTGGGAAAGGCGCTGCGGACTCCGGAGGAGCCAGGCGACCCAGGAGCGCCACCTTGTGGGCGTCGTTAATTGCTGCCTTTAAGAAGGAGCCAGTGTCCCTCCAACACCCAGTATTCTGGTTTCCCATCTCAGGACCTGGGGAAATGTAGCCAAAAATGAGATTCTAGATAAATTAAAAAACGGTTGTTCGGCAAACTTACTGTGCATTATCTACCTCCTGTTTAAATAATATACCTCCTGTTTACTGCATGTGCCCTTTAGATGTTTCAGATTTCTTTTTTCTTTTTTTAAATAATTATTTGGCTGTGTCAGGCCTTAGTTGCACATGCTGGATCTTTAGTTGCGGCATGTGGAATCTAGTTCCCTGACCAGGGATTGAACCCAGGCCCCCTGCATTGGGAACGCAGTCTTAGCCACTGGACCACCAGGGAAGTCCCCAGATTTCTTATGATTGAGAAGTAGGTACTGTTTTTAACAGGGATTTTTGAATGGCCAATTCTGCATTTTACATGCTCTGGTAAAAAAAGAAAAATTTACGTTCTAGGTTGTACATCAGAAGATTCAGATATTTTTCACTGAGGTTTTGAAGAGCTGCTTTTTGCATGATTTTTTTTAAGTGGCCAAGTCGTACTCAGAGTGTGAGCAGGAAAATCCAGGAGGTCCTTAGAAAAGTAGAATTTGAATCCCCATTCCAGACCTGCACCAGAATCTGTGGTGATTCGTGGGCACCAGACAGTTTGAGAAGCGCAGGTGGAAATAAGATGGAAGATCTGTGTTCTTGTCCCCACGCAGCCACGTCCTTGAGGGTATCATTTCACCCAATGTGATCACATACCATCAGCCTCAGTGGCCTGGGTGTGAACCGGGTTTATGGTTCCCGCCTTGCCTGCCCTTGGGTCGGCTGAGGAAGGGCTGAAATCATACACAGGTGGTCACTTTGAACATGATAAAAGCCTGTGCAAGTGTAAAGGAAAATTCTTATGTTTTATACTCAGCCATCATTAGCTAACTTGCTTTATATTAGCTACATGAGCAGAGTGAGTATTCATTCACCCATAACCATTCATTACACTTCAGATAGTGTCTGGGCAGATTTCACCAAGTTTGCAAAGGTCTCTCTTGGGCTAGTCTTCCCAGAGCTCAGAATAATCAAATTACATTCTGTTTTCCTTAACAAGACCTTTCACACAACTTGCCTTCCTGGGGTCTCAGAAGTCTTCCCGCTGTTGAGCCCAGAATGGGGCACAGTACGTACTGGAGGATGCTTGTTGATTAAGCCACTAATTAGCCCCCAGCGAGGTCCAAACACTGGCTTGATGTCCTTCACACTGATCCGTTTATGATAATCAGATTATTTGCATCATTGAGAGATTCAACATAGCTCCAGGACTCAGTCGTCACAATAATAAGTATCAAACATTCATTAAGCAAAGATGCTGGATGGCTGAGAAATCCTTTGGTAGTGCATGAAGACTAGGGTAGGTGAGATCATTAGCTGTTTACAAACGTCACTCCCATTACATTTGAAATGGTGGGAGGGGGAGGACAAAGGGCAAAAACAGCAGCAAGATATTACTCTCTTCTCCTTGCATACATTTTAAAAATAAAATCAATAGTCAAGAAGCTGCTGGGCAAAAAGTAGGTGAAATTTTAGGAAAACATATCATCTGAAGGTGTTGCTTGGACCCTAGTGGCTCCTGCTCCCGAAGAAGTGGTACTGATTGTCAAACAGTGAAAGGGAAATACTGAGAAAAATTAATGACACTTTTTCACCAAACTGAGGCTCACAAACTTTCAATTCAGGTTAAATTAGACTTTTGCATTGTCTACAATTTGTGAAATTATGGACTTTATGCCCCCAATTTACTAAATATGGGCTTCCCAGGTGGTTCTAGTGGTAAAGAACCTGCCTGACGATGCAGGAGACATAAGAGATGCCAGTTCCATCCCTGGATCAGGAAGATCCCCTGGAGGAGGGCATGGCAACCCCCTCCAGTATTCTTGCCTGGAGAATCCCATGGACAGAGAAGCCTGGCGGGCTACAGCCCACAGGGTTGCAAAAAAGTCAGATACTACTGAAGGATCTTAGTATAGTAAAAGTATGCTCTTTTATTGGATCCATTGCAATAAGCAGTATTTTCTCTAATCATTTAAAAGAATTCAGAATGAAGTGCTTCAAAATTACTTTCTCTAAAGTTAAAATGTACTCATAATGAGTAATTTTGTGTAGTAGAGAAAGTAAACCCTATGCTGCTCTTGCAAAGACAGTCTGTCAGAGTCAGATCTTAAAGCAAAGTGTGGCAGCGTTCGGTTTATCTCTGAATACCTGATAATCCCAGGATGCTACCAGTATGCTGTCCGTGTTTTATAAGAATACACGTAATAAAAGAGTGTGAGAAAACTACAACATGACCTTTTTATTAATTTTTGACTTCTTAAAAATTTCAAATCAAGAGAAAATGCCGGAATAATAGAAAAGGTGTGGCTACACATCTGGAGTCACTAATGGTTCACATGTTTACCACGTGTGTGTTCTGCCCCCCTTCCTTTCTCACGTTCTCTCTCGCTCCTCCCCTCTCCCCCAGGGACCTGCTCTTAAATAGCCCCAGCAAAATGATCAATTTCAGGACAATTTGACATGGATAGGATGCTCTCAACTGGTACATAACCCCTAGTTGTTGCAGTAATGCCCTGTGTAGCATTTCCCCCTCGATCCTGGATCTCATCCAGGCTCACCTCTTGCATTATCTGTGGTGCCTTCGGTGTCCTTCAAACTGGAGCAATTTCTTAGTTTCTCTTTGTCTTTGATGGCATTAACATTTTTGGAATGTGCAAGCCAGTGCTTCCTCACAATGCAAGTGTGAGATTATGCATTTGGGGGAAAAATACTAAATGATGATTCTTCACAGAATATTGCATTTGTGGACCCATGATGTTGGTTTGTTCCATTCCTATGACAGTAACTGCTCACTGGGTTCAGGTGACATCTCTCAGATTCTCCCATTGTATTCAATCATTTCTAATGGTGGTGTTGCAGGGGAGAGGGTACTCTGACACTATTAATTCTGTTTCCCTATAAATTTTGGCATCTATTCATGATCCTTACCTGATAAGTTACTACTGCTTTGGTCAAAAATGGTGATTTTCTAACTCATATTCCTTTACATTTATTGTAAGTCCACTGTAAAGAATAATTTTCTCTTCTGCTCTCTTGATGTGTATATCTATTTATGTGTTTGTGGGCATTAGTAGCGGCTTGCAAGTTGTTTTGATTCAGCTGGATATTACTTACTACTCTCATTATTCATTTTGGTGTGCATGTGGTCCTACTCACCTTTGCCAGGTGGGTACCCTTTCATTGTCACGCCTATGTTTGTTTGACACGGCCCCATGGGTGTGTATCATTTATTCTTTAGCATACCTGTATTGAAGTTAATTGCAGAATTTACACTTTGAAAAAGCTTTTTCTTTTTTAAAGCTATGCTGTGCTCCAGCTACTGACTCATGGACCAATGGGAAAACAGACAATTAAATCAGCCCTTAGAGTACAGTGAGTGATGATCATGGGAACACTGAGAACAAGCTCTTCATGGCTTTGGGTCGACTCAGGAAGGCTCCTAGGATAAAGTACATCACCTCCTCACCCTGAAAGATGAACAGAAATAATAAACCTGGGGAGAAGGCAGTGCTCCAGAATAAGGGAAGCACACATCCCTTTGAGGAATTCCTATCTCTCAGGGCTCCCGTGGTGGCTCAGACAGTAACGAATCTGCCTGTGATGCAGGAGACCCAAGTTCGATCCCTGGGTGGGAAAGATCCCCTGAAAAGAAAATGGCAAACCAGTCCAGTATTCTTGCCTGGAGAACCCCATGGACAGAGGAGCCTGACAGGCTGCAGTCCATGGGGTCACAGAGAGTTGGACAGCACAGGAAGCCTGTCAGCAGGGCCCCACCCCAAACCAATTAAGTCAGGATCTCTGGAGGGGGAAGCGTCTAGGTTCCATACATTTTATTTTCCATACATAGCTTCTAGAGAATTCGTTACGAGGAATGGTGTCGTGTGTCATGGAGCTAAACCCTTCGGAACTAAAATCTTAAAAATCCATTTCATTTTTTTAGGACTTTGAACTCAACAACGAACTAAAGATGAACGTCTTAAATTTGCTAGAAGAAGTCTTACGAGACCCAGATCTTCTTCCCCAGGAACGGAAAGCCACAGCGAATATCCTGAGGTAAACGCACTGGCAGGTGCCTGTTAATTACCCTGGTTGATCTGTGCTGTGTTGACAGACGGTAAGATCCTGTCAGACCAGAAGGATGTGTGTTAGACTTCTGAGGTGCAGCGACTGTTCTGTCCTCACTGGTAAAGCTTCCTTGGGAAGACTTTAGTCTGGGCGACGTAACTGGTGTGCAGTACAGTCACTCCTGTCTGTGTGGCAGATGGTGGTTTACTGTGGAACCGAAAGCCTGGAGGGTGCTCTCCTGAGGGTCCGGTGGGTGTTGCAGAGGTGTTTTCCCCTCACGTGTGTTCTGTTTATCACAAGCTAATGGTTATGGGGGGTGGGGGTTGGTGAGGTGGTTGGTAACATTTCTATAGGAGTCTTGTGTAGCTGGCTTGTGGACGTGCCGCCGTAGAGCAGCTATACATTTTCTTCAGCTTATTTCACTGGTCCCGAACCAATTTTAGCATCAGTGTCTTCGTGTTTAATATTGCTTATTTGTTTTTTATTTGACCGCAGCGCGTCTGAGGTGCGGCACTCAGGGATAGTCGTTGCCGCGCACATGCGCTCTAGCTGTGGAGCCTGGGCTCAGGAGTTGCCTAGGCTTAGCTGCCCAGAGGCATGTGCGATCCTAGTTCCCCAACCAGGGATCGAACCTGCATCTCCTTTGTTGGAAGGTGGATTCTTAATCACTGGACCACAGGGAAGTCCCTACCATCGGCTTCTTAGGTGGAGATTTCCACATCCTGTAGGTTGTATGAATTCAGACCCTGCACTTCAATGTGACAAAGTCTTAAATTTTGGGTTTCGCACTAGAGGCTGCTTGTGTCTCATTATACCCAGTGGCCAGGCAGGTAACAAACTTTCTTGTGCCTCCTTGAACTGATGAGTAGTCTTTTCCAGTCCATTCTACATGAAGAGGGCAGCCATTAGTGTCTCTGTGCAGACATTTCAGTTACAGTTTCCACCTCACGTGTGGCGGTACGTCTGTCCCTGCGTGGGGTAGGAAGCCCGGGGCCTGCTCCTCCTTTGCCATTCTGACTTTGAGCTCCCACTGCATCTGCAAAGGAAAGAACCCTTCCTTTCTTCTATGCTTGACTCTATTGTTTCTTCATTTTCCTGAATGCTTGTGTGTAGAGGGGAGTCCAGTTTAACTGAATCCATCATGCTTTTGGAGGCCTCTCTGCAATGTAGAAGTGTCAGATTCTGGTCTGAAACATCTTAGCAATTGGCCCATAAGTCATTCTTAGCCCCACTAGTTCAAGATCCCGTAGCCAGACCCTTCTTTGATCTATGAACTATTATGGCTTGAATTGCATCCCCCTAAAAATGATATTGCGGTCCTACCCCTGAGCACCTTGGAATATGGTCTGATGTGGAAATACGGCTATTGTAGACGTAATTAGTTAAGATGAAGTCACACTGGAGGAAGGCAGGCACCTTATCCAGAATGACTGGTGTTCTTAAAAGATGATGGCCGTGTGAAGACAGAGGGAGACACAGACGGAAGGCCCTGTGGAGATGGAACAGAGCTTGGAGTAATACAAATACAAGCCAAAGAGTGCCAACAATTGCTGGAAAACCTCCAAAAGCTGGGAAAAGGCAAGGAAGCAGCAGTCCCCAACCTTTATGACACCAGGGACCGGTTTTTGTGAAACACGGTTTTTCCACAGACTGAGGGTGGGGTGGGGTGGGGAGGGTTTCGGGATGATTCAAGGGAATTACGTTTATTGTGCACTTTATTTCTATTATTATTACATCACCTGCACCTCAGGTCATCAAGCATTAGATCCTGGAGGCTGGGGACCCCTGCAAGGAGGGGTTCCTCTGCAGCTTTCAGAGGGAGCATGGCTCTGCCGACACCTTGTGTTTGGACTTCGAGCCTCTAGAACATTAAGACAGTGAATTTCTGTTGTTTCCAGTCACTTTGTTTGTTGCGCTTGCCTAGGGCAGCCCGAGGCGTGCTGCGGTCCATGGGGTCACAAAGAGTCAGACACGCTGTGACTGAACTGAACTGAGAAAACCATTAAGGGTCTTCAGTTTTCCATTCTATGAAAACATCTCAGTGAACTTGGGGACTCTGTTACTATGTTATTTTCAGATTTTAAAATTCTAAATACATCTTCGGATAAAACCTGGTGTCGGTGGATGAGTGGTTGTCTGTGAGTGATTGCTCTTCTCTTCTTTTAAACAGTTGACTATGCTCTTTGTTTTTAAAGCATGGATGATTAAAAACTAGGTTCTGGAAGTGTGGGCCCCTGGTGACGTTTGACTAAATAACTGGCAGGAAATTGAAGGTGCTCAGACTGGAAAGGCTGTCAGGACTGGGCAGTTTGAGGCCTTCATTTTGCTTGTCCCCTCACAGCACCCATGTCAGGCATCACCCATCAACCCTGAGCACTCTCTGCCTGTGCCCGCAATGAGCTCAGAACTTTGCTGACTGGCACTTCTACTCCAGACGAACCTTATTTACCATCCCAGGTCTTTATTAGTCATCAGGCTTAGAATGTACAATTTTTTTTTTCTGAATAAGTGACCTAAGAATTAGAAGTGTAAAACTGATAATGAATGGAAATTTTAGTAGATGGGTGCAGCCTGGGATTGTAACATCTAGCCATCTGATTCTAGCTTTTGCAGGGAGTCACAGGTTTAAATCTTGGCTCAGCCACTAATAACTGTCAAGTTTCTTAGTCGATCTTAACCTAATTTTTCTCATTTATAAAGTGGGACTCTAAATACCTACCTCATGGGGTTGTTGTGAGAATCACCTGATGTAATATGTGTAAAGAGGTTATACCTGAAACATACTTAGCAATCATGTTACTGCTACAGGCATTGTTATTATTAGAAAGCACTGACAGTAGCCCTTGGGAAAAATAGTTTCTGCTGTCAGGGCGCTACAGCCCAAGTAAAATCAGGCTAGATCTTTAGTCAAACTCAACTTGCCGTGGGCTTCATTATCTTGTCTATAGAAAAGACATCATAATAATTTTGCAAACCTATAATAGAATATAATCTGCAAAAATATTAAATTCCTATACTGTAGTATACCTGAAACTAACACGATATTATAGATCAACTATACGTCAATTAAAAAACTAATTTAATATTTTATGATAGTAAATAAATCAACAAGTGAATGCAATTAAAAAATCATTAAATATATACTTTAAATGGGTGGATTGTTTGGTATGTGAATTATATCTCAGAGTTCTTGCTTATATCTTGCTTTTATCTCAAAGCAACCCCCACAGTCATAACCCACTTACTGCTATTTTGTAAAAGAAAGAACAAGTAAAAACAAAACAAAACAAAACAAAAAAGCAATTCCACTGTTGGGGTGCCCCCTTGCTGCCCACGCAGAATTCTAGTTTCTTGTAGAGTCTTTCCAAGTATTCTGAAAGTCCCAAGAAAATTGTGCTCAGGAACGAACCCAGTGATTTTTCTGCCTCAGCACCTTTATTCAAGCTCACGGCCCCCAGGCCATTTGAGGGAGACCCCCTTCAGCACCACCACAGTTTCTGTGGAGATGCTGCCTGCAGTCTTGTGAAGCCACCATTTCCCTATTGAAAAGCTGAAAAAGATGCTACCTGCCCTGTCCCTGGGCCCCCTGGGCCCCGGAGCAGCCTCCCTCAACCCAGAGTCTGTCTCTCTTGAAAACAGCTCTCCCCTCATCTTTCCTAGTTCCATATCTTTCACTGTAAGAATTCAAAAGTCTCTCGTGTAGCCTTAGCAGGGAGTAGATGTTACACTCCCCTGGCCATTCTCCCACTTCTGACCATTTTTCTTCCCATGAAGCCAAAACAAAACAAAAACCTTTGTTTAGCCCTAAACATAGGGACATATCAGCTAAAGCCAACAGATACAGATACTGGTCGGTCACCTGCCCATCAGCTGAGCCAACAGCCAGATCCTGAGTCCTAGTTTGGGTCAGCTGAGTTCTGGGGCACTAAGTTATCTTCTCAACAAGCTAGTGAATAGATTTGTGCAGTAAACCCTGCTACAAGAAAACAACTGGTATTTGATTGAATTTCTCCTGCCAAGTAATTCATTCCATTTGCACCATGTTTGAGGGTCCCTGCCCCAGCACATGAGATTGTGGTTATAGGAGGAATAAATCATAGATTGATTTTTAGGGTTTTTGATAATTTTCCATATCAAATACTTATGTGTGTGAAATTTATGTTTTTGAAAATCATACCAGAATGATTAGAAAGCACAGTAGGAAGTAAAACGTAGATAGAACCATCAACTGAAGGGATGTTATTCATGAAATCTCTTTATGAAAAAAAAAATGTGGGGCATAGGAGAAAGAAACAGAAAGCAAAAGGATTATTTAACAATTGTGAATATTTTCCTTTAGTTCATTTCTTAACTTGAAAATAAACAGGGAGTTACTTTCAGCTGAAACTGAGGGAATTTAGTAGTAAACATTTCCATGTTATTTATGGATGGCTGCCTTTAAAAAATGTGTCAGAGCAGGGTAGCAATGGGCTCAAGGAAGCCTGGCAGGAAGGAAAGTCATGCCTGAGAAAGCGTGGGAAGGAAGAGGTGGTCTGGCAGGTCCCGGTAGCAACATGAGATTAAACCATTCACAAGGTGGGGAGGAGCAGTCTGAGGCAGGCCATGCCGTGGACCCAGGCATCCAGTCACAGCAGCAAGCAAGCAGCCCAGAGGGTATGGAACGGTTCAAGGACAGAGGCCAGTTGCTCTTAACTCTGTTTTTAAGACTACTTGATTTCTACATGTGAAGGGGAAATTTTCTAGCTGCAGGACTTGCACAATCCCACTTCCTCTTAAGTTTGTTGTTGTTGTTGTTATTGCATTATAGGTGCACAAATATTAAAATGATCATCCTGCATGATAGACAGAAACCCAGGATCCCGGAGTACTGTCAAACTCCAAAGTAGTCAGGAGACCATAAGCAAATCCATCCTCTATTGGATGGATTGTCCATCTGTTGTCCATCTACTGGAACTGGACAGAATTAGGGAGGTCTTCACATCTGACCGGAACTTTTCTAAATATACCTCCCAGTGAATATAAGTTAGGATTGGGAGAGGTAAAAAAAAAAATAGTCCTGATATTAAAGATTTAGATGTATTCAAGATGTATAACAATAAGTCATGACACATGAATTTAAACACATAATACAGTAATACAGTACAGTGAAAACTTTCTGTGACGAACCATCCCCACCTCACACAGTGTAATGGGGGTTACTTTATGAAGCTTGATTGGCATCAGTAGTGTATGGCCCTGATTGTGAATAAAAACCTCTACTGAAGACTTTCATATTCCTCCAGTGTTGTCTGACTAGCTGGCTTCTGAATCTATGTAGTATAGTTTTTCGTAGACAACTAACATGCCACTGAATGGAAAGAAACAATGGTTGACTTCTTGGATGGTCAACTGGAATGGGTTCAGTCATGACAAGGGGACCCACAAACCCCAAACAGACCCTAGCAGCATCAGACTTTTTTTAAGAAGAACTACTTTATTCAAATTGTTTCATACAATAAAGTAGATATTCAAATGAACAGGCCAGGAAAAACATTTTCCTTGGTTTCATTGAATCAGTTTACCAGAATCAAAGGAAATACAGGAGACTGTATTTCTGTGAAACTTTTACATCAAGCTAAGGTACTCACATGTGGAGGTTTACATGTTACAAAGCAAGAATATTTTATGTGTGGGTGTTTATGTATAGCATTTATTTTGTGCAGACCCATTAAAACTTTTACACCAAAATGACCTCTTGCCCCTACTCCAAATGGTTGTCAGGGGCTACCTCTTTTACTAGACAGAGTCTGTTCACCTCCTGGCTTGAGAATGTCTTCAAAGATAACCATCCATTAAGTTTTTTACTTTATAGTCACTTCTAATTTTGGTGTAAAGTGGTTTTTGACAGCTGGATCATTCTCACTGATTAAACACCTCTCTGTATTGTTTTGAGCTATTTCCTTGGTTCATATCTACCTTAAGAATTCAAAACTTGCCATCACTGATGAATTCATGGGTGGGCATCAAATTCTGAGGCTGGTTTCTTAATAATAACACAAAAATCTTTTGTAAAACAACAATGTCACATGCCATTTTATGTCAGTGTATACATTTCTGTGGTTATCTTTAACCTTGTTAAGGATCACAGATTTCCCAAAAGAATATAATGGAAGCCATCTCCTCCCCCGCAAAAGAAATGTATGAATATATGCACACATTTGTATGTCATTTCAAAAAGGTTTATAGACCCTTAGAGATCATTTAGTGATACTCTAGGGTTAAAAGCTTTTGTGCTAAGGTGCCCTTTCAAAAGACATAGCATTTATTTTGATCTATAGAGCAGAGATTCTTTTGAAGAGAAAACTATTAGGTAACTTAATGGGACCAGACATAGCTTGGAACATGAGGGTAAGATCACTGAGGAAAGGAACATTTGAAAGAAGTGAAATAACTTCTGGACCATTTCTTTCCAAGTAAAGAATATTGCCTAACCTCATAAAAAAGATCTTTTCCACAGCGACGCATAGTTATATGGCCACTGATCTCTCTCCAGGAACCTAGGCTACAGTAGAAAGAATGACATGCACTTTGGGAAAGAGCCACTTTCCCCCTGTGTCTAACCCTTACGTGTGATGTAACAGTCTTTGGAGAAGGAGTTGTGTTTACTTATTTTTTCCTCACCTTAATCTGCCCCTTAGCATATGGTGACTTTTTCTTCTCACAAATGATATGGCTAATTGCAGACAAGAGGATTGCCATTCCTGTGGGCTAGAAGGATTCTGCTCCCTGGTAAACAGCCTAGAGCTTTCGTTAGAGAGAAGGAAGACAGAGGAAAGGGAATTGACCTTTTTTGGTGTGTATTTTTTGGTCATTGTTGTTGGTTTTTTTTTTTTTTTTTGGTGTATGTTCTATGCTGGACTCTGGAGCAGTGCCTTTCATAAGCCTGCTCTTGACAAGCAAGAGCAACAGGAAAGCAAACTGGACCAAACCCTGAGCCAGTTAGTCCATTTCATTAAGCTTTTGTTTCCTGATCTATAAAATGGATATAATAAAGCTTTATTTAAAGCGATTTTTTTATGATACAGGAGAGAGTGTGTGTCAGATGGTTAGCACGTTCCTAGCACATAATGGGCATACAGTTACCCACCTTGGTTGATTTTGTATTTTTGAAGGTGATAGTTTTGTTTTAATTCATTCAGAACACAACAGAATATCGTATTATTGTTGCTTTTTAAAACTGGCATCCTCCAACAGACAGGCTACAGAGTTGGGCAGTGTTTAAATTTTTTTTTAATACTTTTAACACATGATTGTGCCTTCATTTTAGGACACCTAAAATGTCTGGCCCAGATACAAGTTATATAATCAGGATCTCTGATATATAATCAGGATTATGTAATCCTGGACCCTGAACTCCTGCGGACATGAAGTGTCACTCTCACTCTGAAACCAGCACCTGCCTTAACTTACGAATTCTTTTAATTCATTTGTCACTGATCAGAAATATATTAGCTGACAGCTGAATAACACTGAGTGTGGGGATGCAAGACCAAACGTGTCTTGGGAAGGCCCAGCTGGCAAGCAGTAGGGAAGAGTTTACTCGCTGGTCTCTGCCTGGCATTGTTCAAACTCTTGCTACGTGGAAACTCTCCGGAGCTTCTGGTCTGCCTGTGTCTGGGGACGGGGCAGCTCTGTGTCTTCTGCCTCAGCACCAGCAGGGGTGGGGGTCCAGGGCAGGGGCTGCAGGAGTGTGGATGGAGCATGCAGCCTGTTAGAAACCCTGACTGATAGCAGTGCAGGGCGCCCGGATTCCTGGCACAGATCCTCTCGGTAAGGCAAAGCACCAGGTCACCCTCTGCTTCCCTTTCACGGTGGGTGTTTTACTTACAACCTTGGGCTCCCTCATGGCTCAGAGGTAGAGAATCTGCCTATAGTACAGGAGACCCGGATTCAATCCCTGGTTTGGGAAGGTCCTCTGGAGAAGGGAGTGGCTACCCACTCCAGTATTCTAGCCTGGAGAATTTCATGGACGGAGGAGCCTGGCGCCCTCTGTGGGGCGCCAGAGTTGGACACAACTGAGCGACTAACACAACACTTTTGTGTATAACAGGTTGGCTCCTTGTTATAAGTCAGCTCTCTTGATGATCTTCTTCTGCCGTTAACATGTGTGTTTTCCTGTTTTCTGGACCCCATGTCTTCAACTCAAGTCCCCACAGTCTCATAGACCCAAACCCACTAACATTCCACCCTGGGGGAAACTGAACTGCATTTTTGTCATTTCATTCCTGGCCTGTCCTTTTCATGGAGGATATTTTGACTTTTTTTTTAGGGCCCTTTCACAAGATGATCAAGATGACATCCACCTAAAACTAGAGGATATAATTCAGCTGGTAAGTTGAGCCGTAGTCTTATCCTGCACAATTAATTATGTGTGAGACTTTACTTTGCAAAGGCAGGCACTGTGCCCACAGCTGGTAACTGGGGTCCGGACTATATGTTCTGTCCTCGAAACTGTATGAAAGGGACCAGATTTGGCTCGATGTTTAACATCATGGTCCGTGATGTTAATGCTGCCTGATATCTCTGAGCTCTCTGCCATGTTCTTCAGAGCTGGAATCCGGGGGGGACTTGGAACTCCAGCAGCTGTGGTGAGCTGACGGGCGCCTGGCCTCCAGGTGTGTGCCATTCCCTGCCCTCATCTCTTGCAGACCGACTGTCCAAAGGCCGAGTGCTTCGAGACCTTGTCGGCCATGGAGCTGGCTGAGCAGATAACCCTACTGGACCACATCGTTTTCAGAAGCATTCCCTACGAGTGAGTGTGCACACACGGCAGCAGCGCCCCCCCCCCCCCAACCCCATGTGTGTGCACAGGCTTTTCATCTGATGATGGTTTGGACCTACTTGAATGTCTTTGGGTTCCTGTTTATGTTGAAAATATCGGTACAGAAATATTGGAGACTCTCAAGATGGCCACCCTTATGTTGCTGTATGTACTGCAGTTAAACGTAGAATGTGAGTTTCTCTGACCGCTCACACCCTAACGTTATAGAAAACTTCATGCAGCTTATAGAAAAACTTCATGCAGTTATAGAAAACTTCATGTAACAGTGGTTCTCAGACTTCATGGTGCCTAAAATCGTTCGGGAGACTTGTTAAAAAATGTACATTCCTAGGTGCCTCCCTCAGAGATTCTGATTCTGGTAGGTCTGAGGCCCAAGAAACTTCATTTTACATGAGAATCCCAGGTAATTCTGTGTGGTCCAGGACTATATTTTGAGAGACATGGATGTTGGGTCAATGCTGTAAATTCCGCTGCAGTTCTTCAGCCACATCCATAAATCTTCAAGTACTGCTGACCGTGGAAACTCCACAGCAAGATAGATTCCCAAGACAGTGCTTGGCACAGAGCGCGTGTGGAGTGGGTATGTGCCGAGTGGATGCTGTCACATAACAAGCATCATTGCCTCATGTATAGAGGATGGTGGCTCTTTCAGCCCCCTGCCCCCAACAGTCCTCCAGCAGGTCCACACAAAAAGCCTCTGTTTGGACAAATAACTGTTGGCCCAAATCCTCTGTGAAATCATAGCTAGATGGGAGGCAAGGGAGAGGCCGAGCAAGACATCTAAGTGTGGTCCATGTCGTGTGTAGAGAAGAGGGCACCCGTGATGATGGGGGCTCTGGCGTAGCAGGATGGGGGCTCAGAGCTACAGCTAGGTCAGGGGGCATAAAGAGCAGGGCTAGAGATGCTCCTGCAGACTTTTCTGTTATGCGTTTGTCTTATTTCTCTCCTCCTCTCTCAGCACTTGTAGACCTATCCATGACAGGGTGAAGTCAGTCAGGAAGAAAAAGACAAATATCATATATTAATGCATATATGTGGGACCTAGAAAAATGGTACAGATGAACTTATTTGGAGGGTAGAGATAGAGACGCAGGTGCAGAGCGCAGACATGTGGGCCCAGGGGGAGGGGGATGAACGGGAGGTTGGGACTGACGTATGTTCTGCCATGTGTATAACAGGGAGCTGGGGGAGCCTGCTCTGTAGCACAGGGAGCCCAGTTCAGTTCTCTGTGATGACCTAGAGGGGTGGGATGGGTAGGGGGGAGGTCCCGGAGGGAGGGCATGTGTGTATCCATATAGCTGATGCACTTACGTTGTACAGCAGAAAGTAACACAGCAGTGTGAAGGAACTATACCCCAATTCTTTACAAAAAATTAAATAAATAGCATCTTCCATTTAAAAAAAGGAATGTGGCCCCAAGGCTGAACAAATGAACCCGTTAACTATGTGATGACTTGAGTTAGGAGTCTCTTCGCCTTCTTCCTGATTGCCCTCCTGTGTAATGAGGATTCAGGATGGAGGGGGCGTGACCCCTATGGAGGCCGAGAAAGAGCAAAGCCTGAAACTTTGCAGTTGACCGTGTTGTGGTCTCTTCCTGGGGCACTTCTCACCTCTCCTCCTTGCCCTCTCTGTGCCACCGTGAACATGGACCAGTTATTTGCATCCGTGGAGTGAGCACATCTTTGTACATAACAGCCTTGCAGAACGGGAACAGTACCATCCACATCACGGGACAAAGGTCCTTGCCCAGGAACCCAGTCAATATTTCTGGATTGAGAATGTGTCAGAGTAATTTCATTTTAACTACTTTTTGGTAGTGCCTCGACAAAATAATTCCTGTATGCTCCAGCTTGCTTGTCCCTTGCTTGCTGTGATCCGGTGACCTGCTCATGAATGAAAGGAAGGAGCAGGAGTGTTATTTAGAAGACCGACTTTCCACCAGGCTGAGCTCCCCCTGCCATAACTGCTTTCCTCAAATGACCAGGCTGCAAAGTGCTGACACTAGTGTTTGGTCTTCTAGCCCTTACCACGTGTGCTGTTCTGGGCTCTGGGGAGAACAGAGGAAAGTCCCTGCCTGGAGAACGTCAGAGTAAAGTGGAGGAAAACATGCTGTTGATGATTAACATTTTTGGTAGCGATGAATTTTTTGAGCCTTCTGCTAAGCCTTAAGATTTTTTTAAGCTGATTCAGGGGGAATGGTCTTGGTTTCTGAGTTAGTACTTAGCCTCTTTATTCCTCTTGTCATTGTTTTCCAATTTCAGAGAAGCCTTTATTATGATCCTAATAGGGACCCAGTTCCAAACACTTATCCCCCGGAGAAGGAAATGGCAACCCACTCCAGTATTCTTGCCTGGAGAATCCCATGGACAGAGGAGCCTGGCGGGCTACAGCCCATGAAGTCGCAAAGAGTTGGACACGACTGAGTGACTATCACTCACTCACTCACTCCAAATATTTATAAGAGAAAGCTGAAAACTGAAAAATCTCTTTCTTTTTGGCATCCAGTGGTACAACAGTAGAATTTAGCTAAAATTCATTCGAGATGAAGCAGCAGCAGTTGAACAGTGTAAAGTTTAATTTATATAATAGTCATAATAGTTATTCAGGACCATAGGTACCCTTAAAAAACTTAATTGATTTTGTGTTTTGCTTTGAACTTTCAGAGAATTTCTTGGGCAGGGGTGGATGAAGGTGGATAAAAATGAAAGAACACCTTACATTATGAAAACCAGCCAACACTTCAATGATGTGAGTAACCATAAAAATAAAACCTTGGGCGGGAGTGTTATAGGAAGATGAGTATCAGAGTCTGCAGACTCCTTCACTAAATTAAAGGAAGTCTGCCACTCACTTCTACAACAAAACTGATGGGGTGTTAAAAAATAAGCTTAAATCTTATGAGTTCACAGTGATGTGATAACTTCCAGTTACCTTTCAGTCCTAAGAGGTTCACTTTGGTGGTACACACATCTGATGAATGCTCAGTGATGCATAGGTGTCATTGTTTAATTGCTGAGTTGTGTCCAACTCTTTGTGACCTCATGAACTGCACCCCTCCAAGCTCCTTTGTCCTCCACTATCTCCCAGAATTCGCTCAAATTCATGTCCATTCAGTCAGTGATGCCATCCAACTGTCACATCCTCTCCCACCCCCTTCTCTTCCTGCCCTCAGTCTTTCCCAGCATCAGGGTCCTTTCCAGTGAATCAGCTCTTTACATCAAGTGGCCAAAGTATTGGAGCTTCAACTTCAGCAGCAGTCCTTTCAACGAATATTTAGGGTTGATTTCCTTTAGGATTGACTGGTTTCATCTCTTTGCAGCCCAGGGGACTCTCAAGCATAGGTCGTTGCTTGTATTTTTATCATGGTCATCATTACTTCATGGTCCTAGATCGACTAGTTCTAACTGCACTTTGTCACAGGCCCCTGGTAGTGCTGGTGATAATAAGGCTGTTTTGGTACAGCTCTTCTTCATTATTACTGAACATTCAGTCCCAGTACATTCCAGGGTGGGAAGGGACCTCTTTGAGCATAATTACAGTGCTTCTGAGGCTGTGTGCAGTGGTAACCAGCTGTCGGTCCGTCTCCTTCTCTACTCTTCTGCAGCAGTAAGATGGAGTTGCTTTTATACCCTCCAACGACCTGTTGGTGCTATTCTAATGGTCTTGGTCCTATGGAAGAACCACAGATGTTGGAGTATCTTCAGGCCTATGCAGGCAAAGGGAAGGCTACCGTTTCAATTCTACTAAACTTTAGTAAAAGGGATAATGGTAAAAAAAAAAAAAAAAAAAAAGACTACCAGGGACCCTATAGGTAAATTATTAAATCATTCAGAATCAGAATACAAAACAGTGAAAATTCTCAGTACAGTTTTTCTGTCTTTCTGAGGGTACATGCATATTAGATGTTATCACACAATAAGCATCAATGCAGCTGCTTCCTAAAGGATAGGACACATGACCCATTTGAACGACTCTCTGAGAAACAGAGGGCTTCCTGTGGACCATAAACCATTTTTCTTTTTTTTTTTTGCCTGTGTTGTCCATATACTGGGGATGTAATGCCTCTCAAATCAGAGGTCCAGATTGTGGGTCCCAGATTGTGGGTCCCAGATTGTGAGTCCCAGGCTCCAGACCCACAGCCTCTACTTGAAACCGCTTGATTGGCCACTGTGTCCAGATTGCAGGTGGAGCTCATCATCAGCCCCTCCCAGACCTGCCAAGCCTGCGTCTTCATCTTATTCTCTGTTCTTCGTCATGGGTAATGGCCCTGCCAGCCACTCACTCACTCAGCCTTGGAGTCTTCCCCACCCTGCTCACACCTCTGGATACCAGTGAGCCCTAAGTCTGCCCATGTCTCAGACCCTTCTTTCCCCTCCCTTCCCATGGCCATAACCTTGATTTGGCCTTTCGTGCTCTTCTCCACAAGTTCCTAACTCACCAACCCCCACCCCGACGCCAGCTCGCTGCCACCCAACCCTTTCTTCACACAGTGTCACAAAACAACTTCTCTCGAAGGCCCATCGAATTATAATCCGGTCTGTGATGGCATTTTGCCCACGGCTCTTCCCCTTGCCTTCTTGGTACTGCCGCAGCCTCTCAGCCTGGCCTGCAGGAGCCCGCCCACCTATCGTCCTTGTCTCTCCCCACCCCCCGAGCCCCTCACAGCTGTCCTGCCAGGCCCCCCACGCCGCCACACCTTCCCTCCCTGTCCTTTCGCGGACGCTTGGATGGGACACAGTGATTCCTCCTGCTCCTTCAGGATTCAGGGCGGGCGTGACCTCTTTCCAGAAGCCAGCATCTGCCCCATGCTGCCTCCAGTTCTCAAGCTCCCCCCATCCCCACCCTTAGGTTTACATCTCACTGTGTGATATTTACTTGATTCTGTCTGACTTCCCCTCACCTTCCCACCTAACCATGCCTAACCAGGCTCAGCACCCTAAGGTCAGGGAGACTGATTTATTTGTTTTTCCTGTTCCCCAACCTAAAAGAATGCCTAGTCCTTAGTAGGTGCTCGTTACAAAATAATTCCTCTAATGAATATGTGTTTGTCTAATGAATATGCACATGTGGAGGCCCTGTGACTTAAGATGCTCATGCTTGTGCTCAGTCATGTCTCTGACTCTCTGCAACCCCAAGGACTGTAGCCCACCAGGCTCCTCTGTCCATGGGGTTTCCCAGGCAAGAATACTGGAGTGGGTTGTTATTCCCTTCTCCAGGGGATCCTCCCAACCCAGGATTGAACGTACATGTCCTGCTTTGGCAGGTGGATTTTTTCTTTTCTTTTCTTTTTTTATCACTGAGCCACTTGGGAAGCCCATGACCTAAAATACCTATGGGATTATCAAAGAATGGGTATACTCATCAGATTTAGTGTATGGATAGGAGATTATGGATCTTATATTCCCCTTGTTTGTTATCAATCTTCTTCTGTCCTTTTCCTTTCCATTTTCTAAGTCTTGAGCTTCTTAAGCTGCCTCTTTTTTTCTCTTGGCTTTAACTAATAGAATTACAGCACTTAGCTTTAAAACTATAGGTCCCTTTCACTGCTTGTGGAAAAAAAAATCCAGCAAGAAGGTGAAAATGTTCTCTTCCCCTGCACCATGCGTTTTTGGTTTGAGAGTTGGTAGGTTAAGAGTTTGATTTGATTGGAGGAAAATGTGTTTTCTTTCTCAGTGATGGTTGAGGCTTCCACGAGTGACTATCCCCATGTTGTTGGGACCCAGGGAACATGGGGAGAGGCCCCAAGAAATGAAACCTCTGGTCTACAAAGGCTGCCATTCCTCAGGGGAATAGCTCATCCTATGCCTTTCTTTCAATAATTATTGGAAATGACTTCTTCATCAAAATTACTGATTAACAAAATCACCTCTTCCCCCAACAAGCTGATCCCAAACAACTCCTCTCTTCACTCTCAGAATGAGAATGATTATTGTTAATAATGTTAATAATAATAATGTTATTATTACAGACTTTAGTCTCTTCAGAATCTTGTTGGTATCTACAACAGACCATGTCCCAAAGGAGAAATTGCAAATATGTATTTGTCAGTTCACTCAGGGAAAATTCTGTTGTACCTCCTCCTGAGGAAAATTTATTAAACACTTACAAATTAATATATTTCACTGAGAAAATAAAACTCAGTTAAGCCCCTCAAAAAAAAAAAAAAGGACCATGATCTCGCATCCCTTGACACTCGCTTTCCCGACATTTCTGTAGGTGATTCAGCTATTGTGCCTGCATGAATGGCTTTGGCTCTTAGCTGGCCTCTCTTGGCTTTTCCATTGTCTCAGATGAGTAACCTGGTGGCCTCCCAGATCATGAATTACGCGGATGTCACCTCCCGAGCCAATACAATTGAGAAGTGGGTGGCGGTGGCGGACATCTGCCGGTGCCTGCACAACTACAACGGCGTGCTGGAAATCACCTCAGCCTTAAACAGAAGTGCCATCTACCGGCTGAAGAAAACCTGGGCCAAGGTGTCCAAGCAGGTGAGCGCCAGGGGGGTGACACCTCCCTCTGCCGGGAGGAGGAGAGTCTGGGAGACCAGAGCCAAGATAAATATTGCTGATTAGGAAATAATTAGCTGAAATGAGCAGCTCTGTTGGCAAAGAAAGGTGCCAACATGGGTGATTACTGTGTTCTTACCACTTAATTGACCCCTCTTATGCACGTTTCTAAATGGTTAATTTAGGGGAAAAAATACAAATCAAAATATTCATTGTAACATATTTGGGGACACCTTCAGACACTGTGGTTGACAGTTAGGAGCTGTTCACTGAATTATTTAGGGAGGGCACGTTGACTCCGGGTGAGCACAGTGATGTCTCTGGATCCATTCTTTGTCCCTCAAAGTAAAGGTACAAGTACCTTAGGGCCAAAGATCAGGGACCGAGGGCCTCTGTGTTCACCTTTTTATTTGTCATTCTTTTAGTCAAGTTGTTGCATAATGACGTGGATGTGAAGGGATATAGGATGTGTGTATATATATATATATATATATGGATAACTTAATTGTATTTTAATTGGATTCAGCTTGTTCATGCTTTTTGCTTTCATTCAGATAATATGAAGATTCAAGTGACATCACCATTTGCCTCCTGGTCTTCGCCATGGGTTTCAGTGGATGTTGGGTGTTGGGGAGGGCTTCTCTGGGCTCATGGGAGGCTGTGTGCCCCCAGTGGTTTCCTGCTGTAGTCTCTGACTGATTAGTCGTTGGGTACAAGGCACTGTGAATTGCCTGTGCCTGGTCTTCAGATGGCAAGCCTACCCCATCAGGAACATGGTGTGGTTATTGTACCCAGGGAGCTTGGCTGATCTCACCTCAGCTCTCACTGGCTCCGCTGATTCTCTGAGATGGGGTGTGTATCACCTCTACTACAGGCTGCCCTTCCCCTTGCTGATCCCTGGTGGGCAGGCTAACTCTTCTTTACTATTAATAAATAACTCGTTTGACCCTCTCAAAGGGTGTTGGGGGAATTTTCTAGGCTCCTCTATGTTCTGTGGGTACCAGAGGCTAGAGGTGTCTTGCCAGGGCTTCTCTGCATATCCTTTTCCAACAGATCACTATGCCCACCTTGTTGTGACCACCTCGAGTTGGTGAGGGACGTCTTCAGGGTGCCCACCTCAAGGGTTTCAGGCAGGAAGAAGAGCATATATTCTGCTGACATTTCCTCAAAACTATCTGATTTCTGTTGCTCCTTCTGAGGGTTCAAGCCCCTCTCAGAGACACCACTTCTTACTCTATCTTCTATTCCTTCTCCAAGCCTTTTAAGTTCCTCCCTGTGTAGCAAGAAACCAAGCCTAAGCCATCTCTTTTATTCCCTTCCCCACCATTCCTTAGTAAAAATGGAGTGCTTTGAGAATCCCAAATTTGGCCTCTAAAACTAGCAGACTCTTCTTCTATGAAAAAAGCCTGGACCTTGCAAACAATATCCATAGCTTTTATAAAAACTGTTAAAAAAAAAAAAACTTTTAATGTTGAGATCTTTGTAGGTTCATATGCAATTGTAAGAAATAGTAGAAATCCCCTCCACCCTCCACCCAGTGTCCCCCAGTGGTTATGTCTTGTGTAGCTATAGACAGTATCACAAACACAAAATTAACCATTGGTACCATCCACCAGCCTTACTCAGACTTCATCTGTTCCACCGGTACTCGTGTGTGTGTTATGCATGTGTTTAGTTTTATGTGCCTTTATTACACAGGGGGTAGATTCACTACAGTCAAGATATTGAAGAGTTCTATCCCCAGGATACCTCCTGCCACCCTTATAGTCACAGCCATCTTTCTCCCTGTCACTCCCCAACTCCTGGCAACCACAGATCTGTTTTCCATCTCTATAATTTTGTCATTTCAAAAATGTTATATAAATGGAATCATAGAGTATATGACATTTTGAAATTGCCTTTTTTTTTTTTATTCAGTGTAATTCCTTTGAGATCTGTTCAAGTTGTTACACATATCAGTACTTAGTTCCTTATTTGATTTAACCATTCACCCCTTGAAGAACATCTGGGTTGTTTTTAGTTTTAGCTATTACAAATGAAGCTACTATGAATATTCATGTATAGGTTTTGTGTGACTATAATGTTTCATGTCTCTGGGATAAATGCCATAGAGTGCAGTCGCTAGATCATATGGTAATTGTGCATTAAGTTTCGTAAGAAACTGCCAGACTTTTCTAGAGAGGTTGTACCATTTTACATTCCTCTCAAGAAGGTATGAATGAACCAGTTTCTCTACATTCTTGTCAGCACTTGATGCTGTCACTATTTTTCATTTTAGCCATTTTGATATTTCATCATTGTTTTAATTTGCGTTTCCTAACAGCTAATATTGGTAAACATCTTTTCATGTGCTTGTTTGCATCTTCAGCAAAATGTCCGTTCATGTCTTCAGATCAGTTTTTAATTAGGTTCCTTGGGTTTTTTTATCTTTGAGATTTGAGTTCTAGACTCTTTCCCCTTTATTCTTCTCTTTCAAAATTTTAGCTACCCTAGATGCTGTGACCTTCATATACATTTTAGAGTAAAAACTGTGTCTTAAAAACTCTACTGAGATTTCCATTGGAATTCCATTAAATCAGTCAATTTGGGGAGAATTGACATCTTTACTATATTAAATCTTACAGTCCATAAACACAGTATTTCTCACTATTCTTTATATTTTCTTTGAATTCTTAAATCAACATTTTGAAATCTTCAACATATAAGTCCTGTATATGTTTCATTAGATTTATGCCTAAATACTTCATTTTCATTGGAGATATTTTAAATGTAATTGTGGTTTTAACTTGGGTTTCCATGTATTCATTGTTAGTATATACAAATATAATTGATTTTCCTCTGTTCTTATACCTGTAATGTTGCTGAACTCACATTAGTCCTTGGGGCTTTTCTATAGATTCCGTGGGATTTTCTACACAGGCAGTTAGTTATGTCAGTTGTTTATTTCCAACTTATATACCTTTTATTTCCTTTTCTTGCCTTCTTGCTCTGGCTAGACTTTCCAATGCTACGTTGAATATGATAGTAAGAAAGAACATTCTTTCGTGTTCTCGACTTTGGGGTGAAAGCTTTCAGTTTTTCACCATTAAGAACAATGTTAATTATGTTTTTTTGTAAATGCTTTTTTATAAAGTTGAGGAAGCTACCCTCTCTTCATAGTTTTTGAGAGATTTTATGATAAATGGGTATTAGAATACTATTTTTTAAATAGGCTTCAAACAGCTATATCAGAATCCAAAACCTGGACACTGATGCCTTTGTCATGGCTGGGTTTTGCCTCCCTCTAAAGCAGTGATTGCCTCAGCCACTGGGTGCTGGATGCCCAGAGCCTATTATCTTGTCATACATGCCGCACTTTCATCAGGGTCAGCAGGTCACTCCTCTGCCTATTCTTTTCTGCATTCTGATGCCTCTGAAGTTGGCACCTTGTTAAATTTTCTTTAGGCCTTCACTGTGGTTAACTTAAGCGATATTCATGTCTTTGGCAGGATGCAAGGTTAGGAATAACTGAACTGACTATGGAATAGAGATGATAAGGCCAATGTTGAAATTATTTTTTAAAATTTGAATATATTACCTGTAGAGACATTAAATAGAACTTACCATCTTGGTCACATATATAGATCACTCAAAGCAGCTTTCATGTGAATAATGGGCTATCCTAGAGGACCCAGTGCCTCAGACCTGTCATAGGCAGGGCCTGGTTGCAGATATGCCCTGCTTTGGACACTTTTGTTAACATCACCAGCGGTGTAGCTGTCTTTTCTGCTGATCTGAGTCTAGTCTGGGAGACATCCAAGAGGCCTGGTAGAATATGTTCTCTGAAGCCCACCAAATTTGGTCTGTGGCTGTAGGACAGTTATTTCTGCAGCTTCTTTGAGGGAAGGCCAGCCAGGGGCCAGGCAGGAGACCTTCCCAACCCCCCCAACCCTCCACCCCTGTTCACGCCCCGCTGGCTGTCTTTTCTCAGAGCCCTCAGGAACCAGGATGGGCAGGTAGACCTTGGAGTCACTCTGGAAGCTCTCGTGGGGCCTTGCAGCTCCTCTCTAGACTGAGACAGAGTTGCCTGAGGAGCCTAAGTCTTGGCTTCATTCCAGATGCTTCTCCTAGCAAAGCTACTTGGATGTGGGTAATGCCGTAAGTGGGTATTATCATCTCCAACGGCCACCCTACCATTCTTCCAGGTACATAGAAGAAACTCTAGACCAATGTCATCAGCAACTTTATTTCTTGGTAAATATCAATTATTCTTTTCTAATAAATTGACGAAGATGAACACAAAGGATTTGAAGTAGAGGGTAATGGTCAGTCTGCAGCCAAGCAATATAATATGTGCTTTGATGACTTGGAAATTACCAGTCAGAAAGATTGATCATGAAAACCCCCTGACACAGGACCTCTCTTTTAAGATCCCCTATTCGGTATATTCTTTCCAGGTCTTTAAGTTCCTAAGTTTTCTGTGCATTACAATTTTTCTTTACTATACATTTTCTCTCTTTTAAATGTATAAAAAAATGAGTTAGTATCATCTCATGTTCTTTTTTAACAAATGAAATTTAACTACATCTCCATACTTTGAAAATCATATCACGTCATGATAGTCTGGCAATGGTATCGTACCTGCAACTATAGAAGACAACTGAGCAACTTTCGGTAACTCACCACCATATCAAACCATGGGGGTGTTTTCATGATATACTGTTATTTGTTTCCTTCTAGACAAAAGCTCTCATGGACAAGCTTCAGAAGACTGTTTCGTCTGAAGGAAGATTTAAAAATCTCAGAGAAACCCTTAAAAAGTATGTCTATTTTGTTAAATTATTCATAATTCAGAAGTATTTTTATAGTATACAAATAGTGGCCTACCTCATACTTTTCTTTGGAAAGAAAAACAAATGGGACACAACTTCTACCAGTGGTTTTCTGATTTTCCTTTTCATTTGGAATACCATGAGTACAGTAAGCGTCTTATGGATATACTCATGGTCTGCAGAGCATTCCAATAAGAAAATGTTACCATAGTAAATCTTTTACTATAAAAAATTTCTTTATTTGGTATTTCCTAATCTAAACACAGTGATTCCCTGTGATTCTTTATTTGAATATTCCAGTCCCTATTGCTTTTGTTTTTTATTTTTTGCTTTTTATTGCTGGATCATTTTCTCATTCTTCAGACACACGGTGGGGCGGTGGGGGGGGGGGGGGGAAGGGAGAACAGAGTATATCCTTCTGCAATTTGTTTTCTAATGACCTGCCACATGTACTTCACTTACTCTGGAAAATTTTGTCCTGTGATGTCATGACTGAAAGAAAGATTTAAAGTAACAACCACAATAGGATAAGAACTATTAACTGAAGACTGAATAAATGATAGACTCTATGCTAAGTGCTTGATGTGTTTTGTTTAAGCCTTGCAGCAAACTAGAGATAAAAGTTTCATTGTCTCCCTTTCACAGACAAGGAAACTGCAGTTCAGAGAGTTTGCCCGCCATCACTTAGTAAGTAGGCAAGCGGGGACTCAAACTCAGTTCCCCCTGGATTAAAAGGCCATGTTCTCAACTTCTAGACTCCGAGAATGCACCTTCCAAACAAAGAAGGTCTCACTTTAGTGTGCAGGTGTGATATTAAGTCTATACCTTCTAAAACATTTAAATACTAACTAAAACAGAAAGCTAGTTTTACAAGTGTTAATCACATTGATTTTTCTACCCACTTCTTCAAGGTTGAATGTTTGCACTTGAATGAGGTGAGGGCATGGGGTTTTCCTACATGCTTTTATATCTCTAATGGTGTGGCCAGTTGACAAGCACTGCAGGCAAATGCTACAAGCAAGTCCTGTTAGCAGATGTTTTGTATTTTTCTGTAAGACATCCTGCTGTTTGAAGTGCCATTGTCTCAAACGCGTAGTAAAGCATGAGCTGTAATTTTGTATCACACTCCATTGTAAGACATACTTGAACCTCTGCATATCATGATCATGCTTCTGAACGTGGACTTAAAGGACTTCTTTTCTTCAGGAGGGGGGCGGCCCAGCTGCTTCCTGCTGAAGCTGGGCGGTGGGTGGACACATGTTGGATGAGCTTTCGAACGGTGCCTCTTGCTCTTCCAGCTGTAACCCCCCTGCTGTTCCTTATCTGGGGATGTACCTGACCGACCTGGCGTTCATTGAAGAAGGAACACCGAACTTTACTGAGGAAGGCCTCGTCAATTTCTCCAAGATGAGAATGGTGGGTTCGCGTTTCATGCAATCAGCCTGTCTCGGCGACCCGAGTGGCTTATAGGGAAGAGGCGATGTCACGGAAGAGTGACCATTTGCTTTTTCATCTTGACCTTCTTATCCGACACTGGGTCTGATACCCGATGTTGGCTGATTCAGGAGATTTTCGCAGTCCTCTTTCAGCTGGCAGGCTAGACAAAGAAGGTGGGGAATAAAGCCCCAGCGATGACTTTCTGAGGCTGAGCAGTGATAGACAGATGCTGAAGGCTTCTTGCAGGACAGCTCAGTTCTGAGCACGAGGTTTGAAGTGAGGAGCCCATGGACTCTAGCGCCCCATGCTTGCCACCTGAGGATACCCCATGCCAGCTGTTTCCCTGATTGGGAATTCAGTATCCTCTTGCTAGTAGCGTTTCTTGTGGCTCATTGCAGGCAAAAAAGCCGTAGGGCTAGGTCATGATGGAGCAGGGCTCCAGACACCTCATTGAATGGAGTAAGGGACTGACTGCTCTGGAACAGGCTCCCAGAAAACTTTGCTGCAACACAGGGCAATGCTTATGCTTCGCTTCTGTTGTTTCTCCATCAGATATCACACATCATCAGAGAGATACGCCAGTTCCAGCAGACTTCCTATCGAATCGATCATCAGCCAAAGGTAATTGTGTATGCTTGTCAGGGAATTTAAAGAAGAAAAAAGTGGAAGTTAATTCATTGGAAACAGCAGTAGAGTAGGTCAATAATACCAAAAGCCAACTCAAAGGAAAGACCAAAAACACAGACAAACCTTTGGTAACTCTTATTAAGAAAAACAAGAAAGAAAGCAAAAAGAATATCAATTCATCATCAAATTCTATCTATTTTATATCCAGTATTTCTTGTGAAGCTGTCCACACCACCACCACCACCCCTGGTCCAAGCTACCAATATCTGGTACCTGGTGTACCGAATGCAAATCCATTCTACAAATTTACAGCCAAATAGGACCCTCTGAAACACACAGTGGGAGTTGTTTGCCCCTTGCTTAAAATATTTTATTGGCTTCTCTTTGCTCTTAGGCTAAGGAAAGAAAAAAGAAACAATCCTGATATGTCCTAGAAATCTTGGATTATGTGATCCCTCCTCATCTTCCAAGATTCATCTCACGTCTTTATCCCCTTCTTCTCTCCATCCCAACAATAATTGATGTTTATTACCTTTTTCTTTCTTCCTTTCCTTTTCTTTCTTTCCTTTCCTCTTTTCTTTCTTCATTTTTCATTTTGTAATAGATGTTATTTTTTAGAATCATTTTAGCTTTACAGAAAAATTGAGATGGTAAGATAGAAGATTCCCATTTAACACACAGCTCATCATCCCTGTTATTTCATGGAACTTGACGTACTTATTATGAAACTCATAAGGAAGCTTTGATAGGCAAAAAAAAAAGATAAGAACTTTTTGAAAAATAAGAAGAGTAAGGGAGAGCCTTGCCTACCAGATACAGAAACTAACTGTGGTGAATAGAAGAGGGCTGTCTTGGCAGAGGGATACAAACTCAGTGGAGTGGGATAAAGTCCAGGTGCAGATTTTGTCTATATGAGAACTTAATATGGGATAAAGGAGACATTTAAAGAAAGTGACAGAAAGAAGCTGACCATTGTGTAATGAAAGAGGAATTTTGGCTCTCCATCTTATCCTATTCAAAAAATAAATTCCAGATGAATTCACTACTTTATTATAAAAATAAACATTACATTATTTTGATAAAATAATATAGGACATTTATTTTGATAAAATAAATTCCAGATGAATTCACTACTTTATTATAAAAATAAACATTACATTATTTTGATAAAATAGTATAGGACAATATAATATTGACAAAATAAAATATTCATGATCTTTGGATTTGAAAGACCTTCTTAAACACAGAATGTGAAAGCTATAGAAGATGAGGTTGATAAAGTTTGCTGAATCAAAATCTAAAACTTCTATTTGACAAAGGGCAATTGTTTAAAAAGTCAGAGTACAAGCAGTAGACTAGGAGACAATGTTTGTAACATAAAAAAGATATAGAATAAAATTATTCCTATAAATTAAAGAACAGTATTGCTATAAATCTATAAGAAAAATCATAAACAACTCAATATTGACAAAGCTATAAACAGGTGATTCACAGAAGAAGAAACAAAAATGTCCAGTACATATTTGGAGAATGCTCAACTTCATTAATAAGAAAAATACAAATTACGAAGCATCATTATCAGCTTATCAGATAGACATATTTTTAAAATATCGTTAACAGCAAACATTAGTTACAATATGGGATAACAGATACTCTCATGTACTATAGGCACAATGGTTTTGGAGGTTATTTTATTATTTTTTTAATTAAAAATTGATATACCAAGTAACCAGAATTCTCATACATTGCTGGTGAGAGTAACATGGTACAACCTCTTTGGAAAAGTGTGTCCTTTGGAGGTTTCTGAAAATGTTGAATATGCGTATTTAACTTAAATACCTTATGACCAAGGTATTTATCCACGGGGGAAGTGAAAACATGCTCACAAAAAGTTTCACATAAAATGTTTATAGCATTTCTTAATAATAGCCAAAAATTGGAAACAGCCCAGGTGTCCATAAATAGATGAATGGATAAACAAATTGTGGTGTATCTACACAGTGGACCCACTGCTCAGCAGTCGAAGATGACAACCGGTGACACACACCACAACATAGGTGAATCTCAGCACATCATGCAGGGTAAAAGAGACCAGGCCTGGAAGAGCACATGCTGTGTGGCTCCGCTTACATGAGGTTCTAGAGCAGACAGAACCGACACAGGTGATAGAAATCAGAGCAGTGATTGCTTCTGGCAGTAGGCTGATTGGGAAGCTGCATGAGGGAACTTTCTGAGGTGATGAAATTATTCTCTAGCATGCTATATATGTAGCTTGGTTGTTGTTGTTTAGTCGCTAAGTCGTGTCCAACTCTTTGCAACCTCGTGAACTGTAGCCCTCCAGGCTCCTCCGTCCATAGGATTTCCCAAGGAAAAATGCTGGAATGGGTTGCTATTTCCTCCTCCAGATATAGAAGTTACATGGGTATTTACTTTTGTCAAAACTAATCAAAGTATTAATTTTACTTATGTCTGCTGTATCTCAGTAAAAATAAAGAAATATTTTTTTCTGTTTAGAACCTGTTCTAACATGTTCATTTCCATGTCCTTTCATTTCATTTCTGGTGTGGAACCATTCACATGTGAGCACTAGGGAGTATGCTAACAAGGACTTCACTGTAACTCCGTGTCATAGTGAAATATTGGTGGCAGCCCATCACTATGGGATCGTTAAATAAACTCTGATATATCACACTCATGATACAGCAGTGAGAGCTCATTGTATGACAAGAGGAGACCCCACAACTTCTAGTCTGATGAAAGTGGAATAAAATGTACCCTTGTGATACCATGTATTAGAGGAAAAATGATTTCTGCAAGTACCTGGTGATGTCTGGAAAGATACTGAAAAATATCCGGGAGAATACAAGCCAACTGATAACAGTGATGCTACTTGAGGGCAGTGCCTAGGGTAGGGAGTTAAGAGGGGACCAGAGCTTTTTTTTTTAATACAGTCAGAATATGTTCCTAATGTCTTTTAGTTACATGAAGTATTTTGGTGCTTGGGAGAAAATGTTCAATTGTGTCAGGCTCCATTCAGAAAATGTACTGTGCTGTACAGAAAATGTACTGTGCTGTGAAGGAACTCAAAGCGGGGATATCCCTTTCTTCTCCAGGTCACTCAGTACTTGCTTGACAAAGCCCTCATCATAGATGAAGATACGCTGTATGAGCTGTCACTAAAAATTGAACCTCGGCTCCCTGCTTGACGATCCTTCCTTGCCCCGAGTCCGTGGAATTTTCATGGAAAGCAGAGCGGACAGAACTGTGCATGCCACGCCTCCCGCAGTGCTGAGAGGACAGGGGCTTGGAGACAAAGCCAGTCTCCTTAGTACCCCAAAGATGACGGAGCCAAACCAGAATTCTGTCTCCAGCCAGGGAAGCCCCGCTGGTTGGGATCAAGGACAGATGCTTCAGACTTGGGTGGGAAGCTGAAGAGAGTGGTGTTTGGTAAAGCTGAGGGCGTGCTTGCCTGAGGGAGTATAAGCTGGGAGGTGCCCGTAGCCATTTTAATGCAGCAGGTAAGAAGGGGAATTTCAAGTTGTGCCCCGTCTTCTGTCAAGAACTCAGGGATAAAGGTCCATGGAAAAGGCTTGTGATGTTTTGCTGGCACTTCACTGGCCTGGGGCACCTCCCAGTTTTCTCCTAGGATTTAACTGCTTCTCTTACATTTCCTTTGTTCCAGGCTTCCAGAAGCGCCGAGGCTGTCTCTGTGGGGACGGGCTGACACATGAGCAATTTCAATCCTCAGCATGTGCATGGTTCTCAGTGCATCATAAATATTTATACTGGAGAAATGGCATGTTCTGAAACTGCCCTTTCAGTCTTTAGGCAACAGGACAGGAAAGACATGTTGAAAGTCAAATGGATTTGTATGTAACATTTCCATAACTTAGAACTCAATAGCTGTGCCCCCAAAGAGTCCAGCCACGTGGGGGACTTCTTCCTGAGGCTGTGCCGTTCAGGAAGTCGATGCCATTGGAGAGGCGGGTGCAGGCTTTGCGAAAAGATGCCCAGGCGCCCCACGAACAAAACTGTGGAGTGCAACAGAAGGCCACCGAGGGGAAGAGTGGGTCTCAATGCCAAGTGAAAAGATACACTTAAAAATCATCTCTGCACCTTTCTGAGCTTGTGTTCATTCCCGCCAGCCCCTTGGTTATGTGGGAATCTGTTCTGATTTACACAAACCATGCTTAGGCTCACTATGAACATTACTTGTATTTTTTTAAAGTTGTCTAGTGCAGCTGCCCCCAACCTTTTTGGCACCAGGGACCAATTTCATGGAAGACCATTTTTCCACAGACGGGCGGGGGGAGGGGAGTTGGTTTCAGAGTGATTACCTGCATTACATTTATTGTGCACTTCATTTCTTTTGTTATTACATCAGCCCCACCAAAGATCATCAGGCATTAGACCCTGGAGGCTGGAGACCCCTGCTTTAGTGGGATTTTTTTTTTTTTAAATCCACCCTTCCATGTACTATTAGTAGACAGTTCTTTTCCAGTCATCTTTGTTTTTAAATTTTGAGACATTTCTGAGTGAAAATTTTGTAAGTATATGAGAAATGGGCCCAATCACTCATGAGCTCTTGTATCAGAAAACCAAATGCAGGGGTTCGTCCTCCTACCCTAGGCTGGGAAAGCGACTGTGATTTCCCCAGGATTGTTGGTTGTTGAAGAAATAGGGCTATCTCATGTTTACCTCCCTCTTCTCTTCTCAGGGAGACCTCTGCTTTCAAAGAAGAGAAAAGATATTGTTACCTGAGCCTATTGCATCTGGCATTATTTCTTAGAGGCATGAAGCATATCAATGCTGACATTGAAAAAAATTGATCTGTTTGGCTGCTTTCTCTCTTTGCACTTTAATTATGTTGTCAGAGCTGACAGCTGACTAATAAATTCAACTTGCTGGCTCATAAGACCCAGTGGAATTGATAATATCCCACAGAGGTGGAGAATGTACATTTTTCCTGCATGGCCATCTCTGTACATAACTATATAGTGAAATATCAAGTAAGTAAAAGAAAATATTTATAATATTTGAAGACCATTCCAAAAATATTTTCAATAGCTCATATTAGCTAACAGGATAGCTCTAAACTCAAGGAGGGTGACTTATGGATGTTTAATTTTTCTTTCTTTTTTTTTTTTTTAAAGTTGCTTGTTTTTTCTCTTTAGTTTCAAATAAAAAGTTGATGCATCTTGATGCATGATAAGAAGCATGAGTTCTTTGGATCCTAACAATGAATAACTTATTTTTTTTCTCAGTGTTCAGAAACAAAGTTTGAACTAATATATATTAGTTACACCAAGCACCTCAAAGTCTTGCAAAAGAATAAGAAAGTAAAGGCTAACTTTCTTGGTGCAAAGACAGTTTTGAAAGTGAACAAAAACCAGGACAGATCAGTGAAAAGACCACACACATAGCAGTTTCAGGCAGAACAACACCTGGAAATGTTGTATCAGACTCTGGCCTTGGACTCTCCAGAGTCTTCCAGAAGGCAGGGTGTGGTTCTGTGGGCACTGTCCCTGGAAGTTTGGACCCTTAATTCTATGACCCAGTGGTTCCAGAGGCACTGCAGCCATTCTTATTAGAGAAAAATAGGAACTAGAGGAATTTCCAAATGCTCCTTCCCTTTTGGCATACAGGTTTTCCTCAGCTAGTGACAAAGCCGGCAGGTCTATTTCCTGCAGAATGTTGGAAGAGCGCCCCCTAGCGGTCAACTATGGGCACTGTCCGTCGTCTCTGCTGACCCTTTAAGTACTTTTTTTTGCGAGTTACACACCCCTCCTGCTTCCTAGAGTCTGAAGCCTTGAGGGAGCTACAAAAGAGAACTCCACCTCCAAGGGAGTTGCTTTTGATGACCTGAACCATTTCTGGGCCAGCTGGGAGAGGAAAGCGCATTTTTAAAAAGCTCAATTTGGTCACATTTAAAAGCCCCAAGAGCAATTTGTGGTTTCCTTTTGATTGTTTAAAGCACCCATCCTCTTCTGCCTTGCGAGCTTTGTGTGATGGTTGGAATGAGCGCTCCTGGCTGGGTCTGCTTGTATTCCATTACATGAGACCCATTTCTATGAGTAGATGGGAGGTCAGCTTCTAACAGCCAAATAGGGAACACTTGTATTCTTGCAAAATTAACCTAGAAAATCAGAAGTAAAATCCAATTTCATGCTTTCAGATGAATACTCATATTTTGTATAGTCAATGAAATTATCTTGGGGATTTTAGGGAATGCCTTTGGTGATTAACTCAGACATCCAGTTTTGCTACATGGACAAGTCTCTTATTTAAGGAAATATATTATGTGACTGATTCAGGCATGAAGTAGAATGTTGTCAGTTTTCCTTAGTGTTTCTCCGAAGGAATTTAAAGAGGGAAATTCAAACCTACTGTTGCAGTATTTTCAACTGACTCTCACACCAAGTCCCTATTACTGTCCATTAAATTTCAGTACAGATGTTGAATGACTTGGCAGAGAAAAATCCATGATGTTCCAGTTTGGAGTGTGTGTGATAATGGACCTCTTTTTTCTCACAGTGTTGTAACAGACAGGACCTTGGGTCAGCGATGATTGGACTGTTTTCAAATTCTTAACTAAAAAGAGTAATGCGGTAGGGAGGGTGTTCCCAATAGAATTAAGTTTTATTTTAAAAGAAAGGATTTCATTTCGCTTTTCTTTTCAAAGGTTGATTTTATTCTCCCTGGAGGGTGGGGAAAAAACAACTTTCCCTTCATTTTAAACCATAAGATTTTTTTTAAAACCAGCCTGTGAAGTTTATTATTTTTACTGCTATTGAAATGGTATAAAAGATAATATTTATGGCTAAACAATAGAGCTGTGCTAATGTCCACAGCCAGAAGGAATACATGAATAAGATTCATTTTCACTTCAGAAAGACAACAGATTGTAGTTTTAACTAATGACTTGATTACTGACACCACTATGTGAACCCTGGTAATAAGACTTGAACCAATGAAATCTAATCAGAGTGTCATTTCTTGGTATCTGTTAGTGACTTAAAATTAAGGCAGGGAGGAACTAAAGTAGAAAACAACCATCTTGTTGTAGGTATAAATACATGAAAGATCAGAAAATTATTCACCTTGGCTACCATACCACATGATGTTAACATTAGGGTTGATTTGATTGTACTTGATTGCATTTGCTCAAGAAAAATAATAGTTCTACTAAATGATGTTGAACCACTGTCTTATTCCACCACCATTAATTTTTCTTTGGAAAGGCAGTTGTGAAAGAGCACTGGACTAGGCATCCTAGCCCTAGGTTCAGATCTACCCAGCTAAAGCTGGGAAACCTTAGGCCAGTGCTTAAACCTCTCTGATCCTCAGTTTCCTCATCTGTGAAATGGAGTTAATAGTGATTCCTGTGCTGCCTACCTCACAGGACTGTCATGAGGACAAAGTGGATCCGACTGTAAAGTGCTGTCCAAATGTGAGGTAATTTGATTACCATCCTCATCTCTCTTTTGCAGAGGATTTAAGTGTATTTGTTTGTTTTGTGTGTGTGTGATGGACAAACCCGTGTATTACTTGGAGAACTATGTTGTTTGTGTCCAGTTACTTTGCAAATCTGCTGACATCTGTGACTCCGACAGAGGGGTTTGTGCTATGGCCTAACACTTACCAGGTGAGGTGTGGGTTATGCCTGTATGCAAATTAAACTTTGCCTTTCTCAAATTCTCCAAAATCTCCTTAGTCTCCTCATTTGTTTCAGCATTTTTCTATATTGTCTTCTGTGGGCTCCTTCAGCTATTCTTTTACTTCTAAAGTTCAGGGAGGAAAAGGTTTAGAAGAAGCCATGTTTCAGGTACTAAAATATCAGAGAATTTGAAGGATCTCGGGCTTCCTACGTGGCACTAATAGTGAAGAATTCACCTGCTCATGCAGGAGACTCAAGAGACGCAGGTTCGATCCCTGCGTCGGGAAGATCCCTGGAGGAGGAAATGGCAACTGACTCCAGGATTCTTGCTTGAAAAATTCCATGGACAGAGGAGGTTGGGCTAAAGCTTGGACAGTGAGCCAAAGTCCATGAGGTCCCAAAGAGTCGGACACAACTGAGTGTGCACACGAAGATGACGTTAAAGGTCCTCTAGCCCCACTGTCTTTCCAGGGTTTACAGCTTTCCCATGCCTTCACCAGCCCAGGTTTGAAATACCTCCAGGCACAGGGAACTCATAACTCTCCAAAC